ATGCTTGATGGTAATCTGTCTTTTTTTCCAAAACTCATGAAAGCAGAGGGCAGTAACAATGAACTATTGTTTAAAACTAAAGTTTCTATTCTGACTAGACTGGTTGGAATCATGACCTAAAGATGGTAATCCAGGAAAGGACAGATCCTGTTCTTGAGCTATAATTGCTAAGGCTTTATAGGGGGATTGTGGGGAGAGAATTTCAATGGCAAGTACTTAAGGCAATTCACGCTAAGGCACTCTTTCAAACAGGCTGAGCCAGGGAGGACAGTTTTATACTTTGACTCTCTTGAGAGGCATCACTCAACCTACTCTTTATGGCTAGGGACAGAAATTACACATAAACCAGTTTAAGCTGTAACAGAATGTAAACTCAGTGCACATAAATTGGTTTCAAAATGGCTGAAACTGGTTTAAGATAAACCCGGTTGAATGTAGTATCAGACTTAACTGATTTGTGTCAAACCGGTTTATGGAACTTCTATCCCAGACCCCTTCCTGGTTCAAGTTAAATCAGAGTTCCCCAGCATCACAGCATGCTTTTCAGCCCTGGGCTGGGCTGCGCTGTCTGCTCCAGAAATCAGGGTTGGCCCTGCCCTTTGCTCTGTACCTGAAGCAGGGGCGGAGGTGTGGCCAGATGCTGGTTTGGCATGGCCCTCTGAAGCAAAGGGAGTAGGGAGGGAGCTTATTTCCCCCTCTCTCCCCTCTCTTGAGATGTCAGCTGGCATGGCGAAGGGGGAAGGGAGGGGGTTTAGTTTCCCCCTGCCAGCCCCTGCTGGTTCTTTAACAACTGCATGTCAAGCTGCTGCCTGCACAGCAAAGGTAACTAACACCTTGTTAAAACATTAATTCAAGAGCCATCAAGACTGCAGTATGGGACTAACAGCTTTGATTGTTTCTCAATAATTGACCCACCTACATAGCAGAATGTGTTTTCCTATCCAGAGACTTATTGGAGGAAGGGACAAGATAGGCCCTTTCTTAAAGAGAAGACTCCACCCCCTCCTACCTCTGGCAGAGGCTAAAGTAAGCAGATGGTAAAGGAAGGGGGATGGGAATGGAGGGGGGCAGGCCAAGGGGAAGGGGGAAGAGGCTGAGGAACCCGGCTGGCCCCCTGCCACCTGTGAACACAGTCAAGCCCTGCAGGACCAGACTGAGTGGTGGGAGGTGTTGGCAAAGACCTGGCTCTTCACATGCATGTGCTGGAGATGGAGCTAAGGGAACAGGAGAGGGTTTCAGACTGCTTAAGCTAGTGTGGCAAAACAAAGGAGAGAATTACATTTACATTATAAAGCAGAAGCTGTAAAAGGTGGCAGACTGGAATACCTAAGCAAAGACTTGTCTCTTTGGTTTATTACATTCCAGTTAAGTTAGACTAAGCTGTGCGTGCTCTCACTGTTTGACTGGGCTGTATGTTAGCTTAGGCGAAGGTTTTTGGTTGCTCTGTCATGTGCTTGAGGTTGCAAAGTTCTGTGTTCAATACATGCTCGCTTCAGAGAGAGGACTGTTTTTATTCAAGATTTTTTAAAATTCAATCCCAGTACCTTCTCCCACTGCCCCTCCTCCCTTGAGTGGGGGCAGGGGTGGGGTGGGCAGAAGCCTGGCAGGCACTGCCCCCCCCAGGACCTGGGGTCCTGTTCCAGCGTGCTAGCCCTGGATTGGTGCCTCGCTGCACCCCCTCCGCGTTAGCAGGAAGTGGGGGAAGTCTCTCTTCCCTCCCCTTTGGCAGTGGCTGGCAGCCGTGCTCTAGTGCCTCCTGGCTTCTGGCTTGAGCCACTGCAGGCATGTGCCTGCATTTTGTGCATCAAAAGTAATGTGTTCATTTGTTAATCAGTTCAAGCTGTGTAGCTTAGACTAACCTACAAAGACTGAATCGATTCAGCTTCAGGCTTTTTGACTGTCTGTATCTATCCCATAAACTGAAAGCTTTAAAAAGGGTGCTTCAGTTTGTCAATAAAGCTCTGCTCCGCTTTGTGGCCAGAGAATTCTTCTGGCAAGAAAAATGGTATCCAGTGTGTTGGCAGCAAATTATATGGCATATTGGGTGATGTCATTAAGGGAACTGTTAGCAATCTGTCATTTAAAGAATAGCTTTTGCTGTTCCAGCATACGGAAAGTGATTAATTCCATGTCTGCTTGGATTTCTTCTATATATTCAGTGCAGGTCCAAGAGAGTTAGGAGGCACAGTGTGATCCCTCTTGATTACTTTGCTGCCAGCTTAATTTTCCTCCAGAGAGCCTGTCTTCAATTTATGGCCAAGATGTCTTTGAGTGAAATACTCCTATACAGAGGAGTGAAGAAGAGCTTGCTGCAGGGTGCCAGTACCATGTTTGATTTAGGCATGAGATCCAAACTTGCTTGCAGGTGTCACAACCCAAGGGTGTGATTTTGTTTTTGTGTGCTTCGGCACTGCTGAATTATTTCCCGCCACGAGGAGCTTTCTTTGCAGGGTGCATTTCTTAGTTGCAAAGAGAAATGCACGGTGCAAAGGAGTTCCCGCCATTCGCATGCAAATTTGTGTCCCACTATTGGCCAGTTCTAAATTATTCCCACATGGCGGCTAGTGATTGGCTTGCTAGCCGTATAAGAGGCTTGAGTGGTTTCCGCCCAAGTTGGAGAACTCCGAGGAGAACCCCTGCAAGGGAGGACTCCATAACCATCTGGAGGAAGAGAACTTCACGGCTCGTGAAGATCTCTAAGCGCTGCGGAGCCTATCGAACCCAGCGCAGGCTACAGGGGTCTGATCAACCTCTGGCCTCTCCCCGTCGCCGAGCGCAATCCTTCGACGAACCCCTTCTTCCCTGCGCGCAAGTTCCACGGAGCCTAGCAAACTTCGTGTGAGTGTATCCAGAGCTCTACCCGGGTTCGAGTCCTGCAGGTTTATCTTCCCGTCGCCGAAAACCCATTGCGACGTACTCTCGTGTTTTGCATCTTCCCGTCGCTGAAAACCCCCTGCGACGTACTCTCGTGCCCTGCAGGTTTGAGTTTTGTTTTGTTTTGTAACTGCAACTCAAGCAAGTTTTCCTGCCTGCACCGCAACCATCTTCGGTGTAAGTAAAATAATCTTTAATCAACCGCTAAGCGTCCGTGCCTAATTCTAGCCCGCCGGCCTGCATTCCCCGACCCGGTGTGTCCGGGCTGCTGGCCACAGCCTGCCGCGCGCAGGCCCCCGAGGGCCTCCTCCCGGCTGCTGTCTGCAGCACTTCTGTCTTTGGCTTCCCAATTCAGAAATATGTCTCAAGGGTGGTGCAGGCATCAAGGTGTAGAATAGAGGCCCAGGGCAGGGAGTTAGGTAAGAGCCTTAGCCATCCTTTCTCCCTGCAGGTGGGAGAGTGGTATGACGTAGTAGAAGAACAAGGATCCCAGATGATTGGTCCTCATCTGAGATACTAGCAGAGGCTTTTTATCTTCTTGTGAGACCAGAGCTCTGACCACTATATAGTCTGTGATATGTCAGCCAAAGTGTCCCAACCATCTACTTGCCTGCTGGGCTTGGTATCATCCCTGACAACTGATGTTCAGAAATATTATCTTCTCTTAACAGATGTACTCAGATTGCTAGACTTTAAGGCCAAAAGAGACCATTCTTCTGCACCTCTGTATAAAACAGACCATAGAATTTCATCAACTTCCTTGTATGCTGAGCTCAAGTATGCTAAAATTTGTTCCATTCTTTGGCTAAATTGTAATAAACAAGCAGTAACTGCATCTGTCATCATTAAGACCATTCTTTTCTTTCCTTAGGACTAATGCTAAATTTACTTCTTTCTAGGCATCCCTGTGACTTTTGAAACTGTGACTGGTTCAGTAAATTGCTTATACAGAGGCACAGAAAGGCAGCTTTGTACCTAAGGCAGCAATGGCACATGGGGCAATGCTAGTTGCTGGGGTGCCAATGACACCAGCTATTTTTGGAACCCCTCCACAAAGGTGGCACCTGGGGCTGCTCCTCTGGTCACCCCACTCCGGTCCACTACTGGGCTCGTATGCAATTTCTGTAAGTGAGTGGTGCTCTGAAATGTAAATAGCGCTTTAACAGTTCTTCATATTTATATAATGCTATCAAAGACCTTCTTAAAGAAGGTTAGGGATGGTTTTATTTGAGCTGGTGCTCTTACAGACCTAGTGACTGAGATGTAAAACAGGCAATAAAAGGTTTTTACAATACCAGTTCATAGATGCAGGAACAGAATCCAGGTATCTTAGCTCCCACTGTGCCATCCTGTCTGGAGGATCTAACCAACTTAGTAAAGTCCAGACTCACTCCTGCAAGATGCTGAGCATCACTGCAAGTTATTGAGCAGTGGGAGCAGAAGATCACCCCTTCAGTTTGTAGTGAGTCATGCTGTGCTATGGACATACTCATTTCTGAAGTAGTATATGAAGGACTCCAGGCTATTGGGAAAATTATCTGGTCTTGGCATAAGGGGCCAGAGGTGGGAGTGGAACAAGCTGCATGCAAGGGAACTGAATATGTGTTATATAACAGAGGGAGGAACTGGCAGCAATAAAAAGTAAAATGCAGGAGTTTGCAAATCTGAATTTTAACATCAGATTGTCAACCAAGCCAGTGCTGATGGTCCCATTCTTGAGTCAGCCCTAGCTCCTCCATAGAACCATAAGAATGGCTTAAAACTATGAGGTTAAAAAAATCCTGAAAAATAATAGATAATTTTTTGAGAAGGTAGGGGTGAATGGCATAGGGAAATATTTGCCTTTTGGTGTTTAAGATTCTCATTTCATACTTCCTCAACAGCAAGTGCTAGAAAATTTCTCTGCAAACTGACAGCTGAAATTCTTGCATCCTCACAGAGCATTGGAAGTTAGGACTCTAAGACTGCAAATAGATGTTGCATTTCTCCTTTTGTCTGGGTTTCCTACAGACATTCACACCTACTCTCCTGCTTCAACTGCCTATGAAGTGTGATATATAATATGTGCTAACAGTCTTTTTCCAGAACATCCCTGATTCATTTAACTGAACTGTGGTTCATTCCAGGGACAAGCCTGTCAGGCTGTGTGCTCCTCCAGGCCACCTACCCGCAGAGAAGCCGCAATGCATCTCAGAAGGGCTATGTGAGTATAGGGCTGTGTCGCTCCTATTTTGATTAGAGTCAAAACCCAGAACAATCAGGACTGTCTTAAATGAGATGTCTGTTTACAGCCTAAGAAAACCACCAAATATTGTCAGATGCTTGATAACCTGATGAGGGTGCCCAGTTATGTCGCTGAGCGTATTGTTATTCCTCAGCCCCTAACTAAGAAGCCCCTTTTGGTTGGGGCTGGTAAGCAAAATGCTGAGGACCCACAAAACTGTTTTTGCTTCCTCAGAAAGAAAGCAGATTTACAAAATGCTCCAGAAACCCCAGGTAAGCAGCTTGATCTCCAATAGTAATCAATTTCCATTATCTTTTATTTTTTTGTTAAGTGAGAAACAATTAACTTGATTTAGGAGAAGTATTGGAATCCTAGAGAAAATGGCAGGGATTACCAAGGAAAATAATGATCTTTGTTTTTAAAAAACAAAATAATAATAATTGGTGTTACCCAAAGGACAGGAGGGTGGGAGGAAAGGTAAACATGTCTTTCAAAAATATGGCAAAAAAGAGCATTAGCAAACAGGGAGGTTGTAGCAAATTGGAAAAATATCTGCTTGGAGAGATAAATGGCTATGTAATGGCTGTCTATAATAACAAAGCTTAATAGCTAAAATCAAATCTTCTGTAGTTTTTTTTTAAAAATAAATCATAATTGCATAATTTCTAATAAGCTACAAGGCTTAAACCTTATCATAAATGTCCTCTAAGCTGGAATTAAAAAAAAGAATGGGATTTTCTGTATCCAAAAATAGCTTGTCAAGAGTGGAGGGGTTTTTTTTTTCTGATTTCAGGAGTGATCTCTCTGCAGTATTTTATTGACGAGCAAGTTCTGTAAAAAAATAAAAAAATAAAAAAATTGATAAGTGAAGCTTTTCCCTTTCTCTGAAGCAAAGTTGGACTTTGTTTTGCTATCTGAATGAAATATTCACCACTGCACTGACCCCTTGCTTCTGCAATTTGTCTGATGTTTGCTTGGAGATGTTTAGAAGTGGTGAAGCAGAAAATCCCTTGCTACAGCCAGCATTTGCTGTGGATTACACTTCGTGCTGGTATGTGTTGCAGGAGATTCACCGGACAAAGTTGTGAAATGGCTATTTGTCTTCAAGACTAGAAATCATTTTTAGGTGTGATGGAACAGAATACCCTGCCCCAGGAAGGAAAGCTGCCTGCTATTTATATTTGAGGAGCAGAAAACTGGAAGTTACAAATCACATCTCAGAGTCACATTTTTTGAAGCTCAGAGTTGAGGTGTCAGGCAGGTGAAGGCGCAACTGCTTTTTTGTTTCTTTTCATTTACAAAGACCATAGATTCTGGGGTGGGCAGGAATACCTGTTTCCTCCTTGCTTTCATGTGGAAGGCTTGTGTGCAGGATCTGCTGCACAGCCTCTCTGAGGAGGAGTTAATAGGAGCAAAACTTATATAAAACTTAACTGAACCATCA